AAACTGTACCCGAAGATACTATAAAGCCTGTTTTTCACTTGTGTGTGTTTTGTCACAGTACATATATATCACACACTTTATACTGAAGCTTGTATACATGTACACGTGTGCACTCCAAAGAATGTTTGACATAAAATTCTGCTCATAAATTCTCTAATCCTTGTTTCTTCTGGCACAGACCCTGAGAGTCAACTACCACATATACAGTTGTAGTTATCGATATAAATATATAAGATAGCCATACAAACAAATACAACAAGTACAAATAATATACTCTTGTAGCCGGACGCCAGACGGACGATGCACCACGGCATAAGCTCACTTGGCCCCATGGGCCACAGGGGTGAGCTCAAAACTTAAAAGCAAAGTAACACCCCCACATTTTTTTTTTACATTTTTCCATGCTAAATGTTCAGCATGCATGATTAACAGCTTACATAATAGTATATATATATATAAAAAGCAATAACTGGTTTATCTGTTGTCAGTTTAACTCAACCACCCCTACATATTTAAACTGGACTTGCCCAGTCTTTGATTTGGTAAGGTTTTAGTGTGACTTTAGGGGGTGAATGGGTTAATGTGACCGGGTGGAGTACTGTGCTGGGGTTTTTTAGCATGGTATTTCAGCGCTGTAGCACTCTTTACGTCAGCATCCGATTCGTGCTTTCGCATCGAGGCAAATACACCAACATATTGCCTCAAGCACACACATGTACACAACACACATGTATACAACACACATGTACACAACACACATGTACACAACACACATGGAGGCATGTCCTGAAACAAACTTAGCTGTTGACACGACACTACAAACTCAATTTACCAAACCAAATTTCTTTTATGCATTCAATTTTAATATTAAATACCAAATAATTCCTTCTATTAAAATACAGGTACAATTGAAGTCCCTGTAGTAAATTTGATCTATACAATATGAGAAATTATTGTGCTACAGCCCATATTTTTTTGTGAATTAACAGTAATTTACGGTAATACACATGTAAGAATGACCCCTAGGTATCTAGAATGGAATAACATGACTTCCTCATGTATAAATAATTAACGCGATTTGTTGTAGGAGCCGATTCCGATGATGATCATATAGGTAGATTATGAATAACTGACCCCTGGCAGGCTAACATAAAATCACATTTAAATTATTCATATTCATATAATATATATACAAGAAAATGATCTAGATAGCAGAATTTCTCCAAGAACTGTGAATCTATCTACATTCATAGCATGTAGATAGCTGAATTTCACCTAGATTTGTTGAATCCATCTATATAGGTGAATTCCTCATAGAAATGTGAAACTATCTAGATGGCTGAATTTCTCCCAGAAATGTGAATCTATCTGGATGGCTGAATTTCTCCCAGAAATGTGAATCCATTTCGATAGCTGAATTTCTCCCAAAAATGTGAATCTATCTAGAAAGCTGAATTCCTCGTAGAAATGTGTATCTATCTAGATAGCTGAATTCCTCGTAGAAATGCGAATCTATCTAGAAAGCTGAATTCCTTGTAGAAATGTGAATCTATCTGGATGGCTGAATTTCTCCCAGAAATGTGAATCCATTTCGATAGCTGAATCTCTCCCAGAAATGTGAATCTATCTAGATAGCAGAATTCCTCGTAGAAATGTGAATCTATCTCGAAAGCTGAATTCCTCGTAGAAATGTGAATTTATCTAGAAAGCTGAATTCCTCGTAGAAATGTGAATCTATCTAGATAGCTGAATTCCTCGTAGAAATGTGAATCTATCTAGAAAGATGTCCTTGTAGAAATGTGAATCTATCTGGATGGCTGAATTTCTCCCAGAAATGTGAATCCATTTCGATAGCTGAATTTCTCCCAGAAATGTGAATCTATCTAGATAGCAGAATTCCTTGTAGAAATGTGAATCTATCTAGATATCTGAATTCCTCATAAAAATGTGAATCTCATCTAGAAAGCTGAATTCCTCGTAGAAATGTGAATCTATCTAGAAAGCTGAATTCCTCGTAGAAATGTGAATCTATCTAGAAAGCTGAATTCCTCGTAGAAATGTGAATCTATCTAGATAGGCTAGCTGAATTCCTCGTTGAAGTGTGAATCGATCTATAGATAGCCATAAATATACATATATAGCTAAATCTTTCCTAGAAATTGTTAGTTAAAATAAAGCTTGCAATACATATATTGATATAATTGATTTAAGACTACCCGGTACCTACATTTGAATATACACATAGTAAATCATTTAACAGAAAACAAACCTATTTCTTTGTTTGGCCCCACATTAGGTCTTTCAGTTCTAAAGATGAAGTTTTTCAAATGAGAAGATCAAATGGATGGACAACAGAAGATGAACATCACAACATACTCTAAGCTTACAGGCACATCCAGGCAAGCTAATAACATTTTTGTGTATATATACATGTACTGTTTCCTCTTTTCTGTTTCCCTCTTTTTTATACCTGTATGTAAATATCCAAACTCATCCTAATTTTTTAAAGGGTACTTTCCAAAAAGCTAAACAATAGCACTGTTTAGAAATGTATCCCAATTTAAACAAATATATTTGAAACTGTTGTACTACTGAATGGGTTTAGGGGAAGACAGCTGACACCAACCTGACCCTAATTTAAGGCCTGATTGACCCAATAGTTAAAGAACACAGGTGGGTTTTTTTCATTTCCATGACTTGACAATTCTGATTACCAACTACCTGAAAATCTTCCTGTATTTAGACTTGTAACCTGATCAAGGTGTTAGAGATATTAAACTAAATACGTATCATGTGCATGCACTGTTTATTTATTTCCTTCTCACAACAAAAATTGCAACAATGATAATCTCCGACACAGAGTAGGGATGGGCTTGTGACAGGACGATAAATATCTTTTGTTGGCTTTTCTATTGAATTGCAAAAATATTGGTGGGCTTATTACCAGACACTGGCTTATTCCTGGATAAATATAAATACAATAGTCAAAATTAATGTAATTCCTTTTTAAACTATCTGTATGTAAAAATGAATTATGAAAACAAGTTTTATAAATGATGATAAAATAAACACATATAACGCACAAAGCAGATAGCTTTTGTTTATTTTTTTTTCAAATTTTCATTTTTTTTAACCGTGATACCTTAGCCTTCTTTTTTAATTGTGGTACCAAATGTTGTTTTTTAAAGTGTTGGTTTCAGATTTATTAGAAATTAATTGCAAAGTATGTCCAAGCCTTAAATTACCAGTTTCCTATTCTTTTTGACCACTTTTGACTATGTGAATGATCTAGCGTATATCATATACGTAACTCTCCGGGATTTTATTTAGTTTTATTTTCTTCTCCAGGCTGTGTGTGACCAAAAGAAAGTCAACGATTAATTACAATCATTCATCCAAATTTACTACAGAAATTCAATCACAGTTTCAAAATTATTTCATCAAATCCTGACACAAATGATCAGTCAGAAATTGAGACTTGATGTACAATGTACATGTGAAAGATCAGGTTTGGCAGTACAGTCTAAGAAAAATCTACAATTTTGAGGAAGTAGCTAACAACAGACACCTATTTTTCAGCCAGAAAAAAACCTGGCCATATTAGCTCTAATAATGGTGCCAGGCATAGATATTAAATGACAATTAGGACATCTTTAATTAGACCCATTGTTTCTACATTGACATGTACCATACCTACTAGGGTTTTGTCTATTCCAGAGTGACAGAAACATGAAGGTTTCTTTATCTTTAATTTTTCCCACATCAAAATTTAATTCTCCATTATGAAATTGTGGATCCCTCTGAAAAGTGTCATAGTATCAGTAGATAATGCTCCCTGGCAGATCAACAGAAAACAAGGTCATTTTGATATATGAAGTTGCAATTGTTTTAACAAAACCAACTGAACAACTTCTAAGAAATTGTGAAATTTAGAACTTTACTTAAGTTACATTTTTTTATAAATTCCTGGGGATGCCCTCATTACAGAGAGGACACCCTCATTAGGTCAGGTCATTCACCATGGGTCTGTCAAATCTAAAATATTTTTTGTTTTGTTTATCAAGATTAAGCTCGAGACAATCAATGAATTATTTTGCTGCATGTCTTGCAAGGAACCCTACAATCAAATTGTTTTACTAGATGTAACATTACTAGATAAGGGGTGAATTGAACAGTTGGGTAAACATGTTTATAAGATGAACTGACCTGGATTTGCCATGTGCTGCATTCCTGAATGTGCAAATGACAGCAGCTAGTTGGAGGGACAAAAGGATGTTCTGTTACCTATCCGTATGACTAATTAAATGTAACAAACAATGGTCAGTGTGACCTATAGCATATCTTGTAGCCATAAGCCTGTGTGGTTCATCACGAGAAGGCTGTCGTAAAGGCAAATCTCACCTTTACTGGGTGGGGTAGAATAGTGTCATAACCGGATATCATTGTGTGGACGGCAATACATGTAAATACGACACTGGATTCCACCTGTTTGAGCTCTCAGAAGTAACACAGATAACATGAATGATTTACAATCATGACACAACGATACATGGTTATCGACAACGTAAGAAACAGACCGATACGGGATAGACATTAATTCAGACATTCTCAACTTCCGAAACGAAAAATTACCCTTAGGCTGTCGGCATTGCGACAAATAAAACGGCCTCAATGACTCAGCTCCTATTCAGTCTGATGAATGCATGGTATGCTTACATTAAATACAAATATGCATGTTTAGAAAAAATACAACTTAACAGCTATAGACAGCACCGCCATCCGAAGTACCTCCCCCCTCCCGTTGCAAGAAATTGATGCTGATCCAAATGACCGAGACGGGGGTTACCTTTGCTTCCGCGTCACATTCTAGAAAAAATAGACACTTGACGGGAATATTACCATGGCTAATTAGTAGTATACTGTTTCAATATTAACTTGGTGACATTATGAGTCAATCCGTAGTCTTATAACATCACTTTTCATAGTGTTTACAAGCGTACCTCTTTCTGTAATCTTTTTCCTCTTCCAATATGGCTACGCCTACGCATGCGCCGTCAAAACCGGAGCTTCACAAGGGACGTAAACTTCAGACAAGTTTCGTCGTTCCTCTACGAGCGCGATAATTAACTAAAAGAAAGACTGTTCAACGGTTACATCATTACTGCACGTATTGGTGTTTCATTTCAACATCTTATTAAGTTTTCAAAAACTTTAGGAAAAGTCCTTCATTACGTCACCGGAAAATGAATGCACTGCAGTAAAACATTCCCACTTACTCATTGGTCGAAATTATGGGGTCAAAAATGGGCCCATCTTTCATACATTGGCTGAATTCTTGAAATACATTGTTCCTCATTGTTATGTTATCGTTTGATGTTTCGTGTTACTTTTTAGAAACAAAGATTGCGACGTCTTAAGATAGAACGATTGAAAAAGCTTAATTATGTAAATGTCAAATATCTTTAGAAGAAAAATGAATAATTTTAAAGTGGAGTACGTTTTGGTACGAATAGATAACTAATTAATTGATTATTTTAAATGTCTTTAACCAGAGACGTATATAGCACGTCTCTGCTTTAACTGTTCTATAAAATAATTGTGTGTGTGTGTGTGTGTG